GCACTCACACATTGGAAATTCAAATTATAACGATCATAATTTAGATTACTAGCATTATTTCTGAATTGACAAAGTATAATGTTTACATCACAATTGCCAAAGTATTTAAAAACATCAGTAGTTTCAGATTTCATGTATCGCTTTGTAGTTAGTAACCTTTTTAACTGTGTGGTAGATTGAATGTTAGTAATATCTGGGGCAAGTCGATTAATTTCGTTTAGCATGGACGGAAAAAAACTTTCAAAATAATTCACAGTACGACATAATGGGGGATCAAATAATCTGTTTGTTCGGGGGGGATATCTGTCAAGGGTTTCATCATGAATATATGGTTGAATACTTTCTCTTAGGTAATCTGGGGTTTCATTATTCATTATTCTATACATTAAAATTAGTTTATGTTTATTTCTTCTGCAGCTCAAAGTTTCCCATCCTAATTCCTTGTATAATTTGATGCCCCTCTACGTAAGCCTGTAATTAATCTTGCAGCCTCTAATTGTATTCTAGTGATTTTTTTGAGCTAGTGTACAATTGTCCCACACAACATCTGCATATTCAATAACTGGTCTTATGTAGGATGTATATAAGGTTGCTCAGGATTTTCTATTAGCTTTATTTTTTTATAACCTCAAGATATTTATTCTTTACAATGCTTTTTTTATATGTATTAGATATGTGTTGATTCCATTTGGCATCATCACTAAGTGTAAGGCCCAGATGTGTTTGTGTTTTCCTTTCAACAATTGGTTCGTCATAAAAAGTAACAATATGATGATTCTTATCAGTTTCCTTGAGAAAATTACATTAATGTCCCATTCAGTGGCCCACAGCTTAATATTAGTCGAGTCATTAGAAAGATTTTGTGCCGATTCAATGGGATTATTATCACATATACAATAGAGAGAGGTGTCATTGCAAATAATTTAATTTTACTGGAAACACAATCAAAATATTAAAAACAATAACGGACAGAGGACCGAGCCTTGTGGAATCCCTGCTTGAACAGAGTCAAAGGTTGGTGTTTCTGTATAATAAAAAGTTTCAACACCATATGATTCCAACTTGTAAAGCAGTCCATTGTGCCAAACTCTATCAAAAGCCTTGCTCATGTCACAGAATATAAATCTGATTTCTTTATTTTGATCTAGGCAATTAACAATGGTATGGTAAATAGACAATAATTGATTTACAGTTGAATCTTTGTAATGATTTTATATTTAATGATATTTACATATATAGATGATGATTTTATATATATAGATATTTAAAAATGTTTTTTTTTCTAAAAAGATAGGTCTGTAATTAGACGCCTACAATATATCTGTTTAAGACAGTAGTCTTCAGCTTTTATTGAGTGACATGTCAATGCCATGCATCATCGGTTTGTTTGTTTTAAATTTCTTCCACTGTTAGATAGGCATATCTTCTATCCGATGTTTAAACTCTTCATAATATTGAAACGTAAGAGTCTTAAATATGACGCAAGTGTTAAGCTTACATGATTAACAAGTTTGTATATACATGTACGTGTATGTTTGGATAATCTGTAAATATCTACCATACAGATAATAATATTTTTAGTAAAACTCCCTACAAACCTACTCTACTTTTACCATTCTTCTTGTCTAGAGTGCATGTGGGAAAAAGATGACATGGGGAGATATGTTGATATCGCTTTCCTGGTGTTTGAACTTATGCTTCAACGGAATTTATATTTTAAAATTTTGGAAATGATATATTTCTGTCTGCTATCGATTAAAAAGACTTGTTTAATTCTTACATTTGATGAAATGTGTGTGACTCTTCAAACATTATCCAGTTACACTAATTAACCAGTTGTATGACTTGTTCTTGCATACTAGACCGAGATATCCGCATTTCCGGCGGTGCTGGAAAATTCTATCCGACTCACGGGGTCTGGATCGCTTACACGCGCAAGCTGTCGGGGGAATTATAGTAACCTTTCGGGGTCACGATATTGTTCGTGACGTCATTCTATGACGTTTTGGGGTCAGTCAGGGTCATTGACATCATTAACAATTGCCATCCGTGCTGCATATGCAAATGAGAAATGTGACTGAACGAGATCGGGTTATCTCAGACTCGGGCTAAGATTCTGTAACATCCCAACCTCGGCTTACGCCTCGGTTGGGATTTTGTTACAGAATCTTAACCCTCGACTGAGATAACCCGATCTCGTTCAGTTACAGGTAAAAGATTTTATTAAGCAGCACCTTCCAAATCGGAAATGAGATAACCCGATATATTGTTTTGGCATGTCTGTGTTGTTAATTACATGTATGTCTTCCTACTCATTTTGTGATAGTTCGATGTCAATAGCTTCCATTGGCGTTTCTGAGTATAACCTCCCTTTTTGTGATAGGGGATACATCAGACATGCATGATTCTTTTGGCTTGGATGTTCGACCTCACAACCAAAACAATTTTTCACTGCAATTTCTTCACATCTTGAAAATCTCGTTGGTGGATAGCTTAATATTTTACTGCACCATAAATAATGTCCATTTCATCCATTTAGATCTCAGTGGTACTTATGTCCAACAACAAATCATTTTTTGTGGTTGTAATGGACCTATTTTACTTCACCTGTTAAGTAACTTCGACAGTTAGTGCCTATATAGCGAAAACAGGTAGTCCAGCCCAAATACAAAGCGGGTCAAATACAAAAGGCATCTTTGCGTACAATGTATGCTATTCCACCCAAGTCCTGTTGGGATTTCCAGGTTGGGGATACTTGGAGAAAATGTCGATACACACCTGAACGAACACCATGCGATTTTTAGATGAGTGCTGCAAGACCGGTATACAAATATACATCAAAACAAACATCAGCGACACGAAACAGGAAGTCCATTACACGTTTGTAAAAAAAAGTTTCAAAACCAGGCTGATCAGACAGTTCACCTGGATAAGGTAAAGTGGATAAAATATTAACAGAGAGAAGGAAGCGGCTCAACCTATCAGACTATTAAGCGATGTTCATCTCATACATGGTGGTATACTGGAGTCAGCTTGTCTATCCGTCTATCTGTCCGTAGAAAAAGTTTGTCCGGAAAACCCCTTCTAAAGTAGTGGACCAATTTCAATGACAGTTTCCAGATATGATAACTAACACCTGAAGTTGTGCATCCATGTATTCTTTTTTTTTATTCTAACCCTTTGTTTTACAAAGTTATGGCCGTGTGTTGAAAAATTCCTTGTCCGGACATATCCTCCAAATCTAAGGAGTCAATTTCAACGAAAGTTTTCAGGTATAACTAAAATCTGATGGTGTGCATACAGATATTCTTTTTTCAATCTGACCCTTTTTACGGAGTAATGGCCCTTTGTTGAAAAATACTTGTCCAAACAACTCATCCAAAACTATTGGGCCAATTTCAACGGAAGTTTACAGATATAACTAATAGTATGTTTGCAGTCAGACCCTTTAAAAAGGAGTTATCACCTTTCTTGAAAAACAAATTTGTCTGCCTCATGAACTTCTTGGCCAATTTCAATGAAAGTTTACAGATTTGGTAATTACCCCCTGATGTCGTGCATGAGGGTAGTATTTTTTTCATTTCGACCCTTTTTAAGGAGTTATGGCCCTTTGTTAAAAATCTTTGTCTTGACAACTCTTCCTCAACTACTAGGACGATTTCAGCAAAACTGGGTCATCTAGGCCAACAAGATTTGGTATGGAAGTATGTTTTGGCATAGGGAGGGAGTACAAGAAGGACTGCTTTGCAATGCTTCGTCTTAGTTAGCCTTTAGCTTACAGTTCTGGTATATATAGGAGCGGGGGTATTAGTAAGTCTTTGGCTTACAGTTCTAGTTATTATTTTGTTTGCCATATTGCCTATTCCTTACACAAAATAAGAAGGAATATTACACTATTTCATATCGTTAACTCTAAACAAATAAAGCAAGGAAAGATATCCATGTCCGACTCCCCATACAAACATTTTATTTCAGCACATTTGATTTTTGTAACCTTGAAAGACGGTCAAGGTCATCAACGTTTAGAACACTTAAACTCATTCACATGAACAACCTACTTGCCAAATATCAAGACCCAAGGACCTTTAGTCATGAAGAAACACAAGTTAAAGGAAATGTGGAAAGAAAACTGTTTTGTCAATTTTTTTGAAATTCCTAATGTTGAAAGATATTATTGGAAGCCAACTTTTCAGCAAGTAAGAAAAATAGACTAGGTTTAGCACTACGTATATAAATTAACGTGTCAAAAATGGAAAATTTCTCATAAGAAATGAATTTCACACACTTTTCTGCCTAATTCTTCAATAAAAAGAACAATTCTTTATTGAAATAGTGTAATATTTGGTATCAAAATAACAGTTGGAATATGTTGCATACGATGATGATATAATTTTAAAATAACTGTCATTTAAATGCTTTATGAGGAACTGTTTTACCACACCTTTAGCACCCACAGTAAGTCAAATGAATTCTGAAACTGTTTCTGATTTAAACTTCTTATACCCATAACTTTTTGGATTTCTCTTGTTTTGAAATTACAAGAGGGGGGGGCGGGGCGAAGCTAATGTTAAATCTCCATAGGCTCTACCTGTTTCTTTTATAATCTGAAGCATTCACTGAAACTCCAATAGGATATATATTCTACAATATCCCACAAATTCAGGGAATATTAAAGCTAGTTATAATTACACATCTATTACACCAAAGTAGTTTGTTGTTAAAGTAACCTCAAGTTTGATTTCAATTTGCTGGAGAACAGTACGGATTGATGACTGTGGATTTGAAACTTAATTTTGGTTTGTTTCAAATGAACTGAAGATGGTGTCCAACAACGGTGAATCAACGGTCATGGTTGCTATTGGCAAAATAAAACATGAAAGTTTAATAATTGCAAAAATTGAAACAACTTTTGATGGAAAATAATGAAAAAACTGATGAACCCCTTCCATTAATAATTAATGAACGAAAAGAATTTAATAAAAATAACTAACACCCTTTAGTACCTTTTTGTAATAATTTATTGTCAAAAACACCAAATAGAATGCTTTACAATATATAAATGTCGCAAAGTCCTACAGTTATAGGACTGCTGTAATAGTATCACACACAGAAATATTCTCTCACACCACAATTCTTGCATCCTTACATCAGCTTCATCACAGGGTATACTTTGTGTTGGCTAAAGTCAAAGTCTGGCGGCTCCTGGAATATATGGAGATAAGAAGATGGATTTAACAGTTAATGTAAAACTGAGAACATGATTTATATAATTGTTTTTAAAGTTCTTTAAGATTTATATTAATGTATTTTATGTGGCAATTGTATTCCACTGTATCAGTATTTAGTGTTAAAGTTCTGAATCCAATGAGAAACTGACTTAAAACATTCTGTAACAAAATGTTACTTCCCTAGACTATTTTGGGTAATAATAAGGTATGCAGTAAATGCACTATATAAGTACACAAATTATTTCCTTCTAGCACTGCTGTTGAAATGAACACCTGTATATGAATTAATGTATATGATAAGGCAGCATATAGAACACCGAGTTAAACACTAACATAATTATGTACATGAGTGTAGGTATGTATGTAAACAGCTAGTGAAGACTAACTTACTATTAACAGACAGAAATAAAAAAAACTTACATTACTATCTTTCTTGTGTCCTCCCATCAACAGCTTCATCACTACAAAGTTGGTCTTCGCTACTTTGATCAGTGTCTGAATCTGAACAGTAAGTATTTATATTACCTCCAAATAAATTACATAATGTTTCAAATTACACATGGTTTTCTTTGAAATAGCATTAGTCAATCTAATTCACATCAAGTATTTCTTTGAATTTGCTGTAAAGTAGTAATAACAAAATACAGCAATGAGTGTCACAGCAGTTCAAGGGGGTTTAAGGAAGGCTATAGGAGCCCCTTCTTTCACCCTAGCTTGCCAATATTCTTTTAAAACCATGTATTTTTTTCATTCCTCTTATTTACCAACCACCTATCCACCATTCTCAGGATCTGTCACTATATTTGTCTCCCATGAAGCAACAATGAGCTTATTGGTGAATTTAATTTCATCTGATACAGCTAGCAAGGATTTACAGTGACAAGCTCCTAGTTGGTAGCATAAAGTACAGTAAGAGCTATCTGTAAAATGTCTTATTCCATTTGGGTAGTAAAAGATACAGCGATTCCTTTTCCTCTACAATGGTGTGCTTACCTCCTCATTGGCAGTGGACATACTCTCCAGAAGAGCCTTGGCTTGGTGGAAACATTTACAAGACGCTGTGTATAAACTCTGGGCCGAGGCCTCTGGCTCGTACCGTTTCAAGTCTGACATCTCCTTGCAGAGAGATAGACAACTCATGTAAAGCAATGCCTTGTAAAATACATGAAACTCCTTATATATTGAATGTTGGGAAATCTTTTGAAGGAAAATCTGCTATGATGATTGGATTATGATATATCTAATTGAGCCCATATTCAAATATCATATTTAAGACTGAGCTTTCACTCAGCACACAATCCCTAAGCCTTGATGAAGACTCAATCACAATTTATACATCTCTTTTTCATTGATCAATTACAAAGATAAGCAATACCTAAAAACAAATGAAGGGTGGTGAACCATAACTTTTTAATATCTCATCAGGAGTTTTAACCAAATAGCGTATCTGCATAATTTTAAAAGATGGTTGGAAGATAGAATCGATTCTGAACCAAACATAAGCAATACTGCTATCATTTAAGTTTGAACCTGGTCAATATACATTACAATACTATAAAATAGCACTAGTTAAATATGAGGTTGATACAGGTTTCCAGATTAAACAGTTCACTATAGACAGGTTACAATGTGACTAAGTTTACCTTGTACTGGGCGTAGTGTATGTAAGGAGGTGTGGACACCGTCGTGAAGGGGAGGAAGCGATGGGAGTACTGCACCTCCTCACTGTCAAACTCAAAGGAAGGGTACACCAGCTTACCATCCAGTCGTAGTCCAAGGACAGCCTAACAGTGTAAATATATAAAACATGATTGTTAGATTTTCAGAAATGATCTAAAGACATGATATTGAAAATCATGTTAACATCAAACAGTATCCCTCCCTTATGTCCATTACATCTCTAACTGATCTAATTGTTAAATTATACATTATCTAAAAACATGAAGAAAGGAAATTCATATTTGACAGATATAAAATGTTCGTGTCATGAAGTTACCAAACATATATTACACTGTCTGTGACAGAGATGTCTGTCCTTACCTTACAGTAACCTCCAAACATATGTTGTTCTGCCTGTGACACAGTTATCTGTCCTTACCCTATAGTAACCCCCAAACATATGTTGTTCTGCCTGTGATACAGGTATCTGTTCTTACCCTATAGTAACCCCCAAACATATGTTGTTCTGCCTGTGACACAGTTATCTGTCCTTACCCTATAGTACCCCCCAAACATATGTTGTTCTGCCTGTGACACAGTTGTCTGTCCTTACCTTACACTAACCTCCAAACATATGTTGTTCTGCCTGTGACACAGTTATCTGTCCTTACCTTAAAGTAACCTGACGCAGTTATCTGTTATCTGTCCTTACCTTACAGTAACCTCCAAACATAAGTTGTTCTGCCTGTGACACAGTTGTCTGTCCTTACCTTACAGTAACATTCAAACATAAGTTGTTCTGCCTGTGGCACAGTTATCTGTCCTTACCTTATTGTAACCCCCAAACATATGTTGTTATGCCTGTGACACAGTTATCTGTCCTTCCCTTACAGTAACATCCAAACATACGTTGTTCTGCCTGTGACACAGTTGTCTGTCCTTACCTTATAGTAACCCCAAAACATATGTTGTTCTGCCTGTGCCACAGTTGTCTGTCCTTACCTTACAGTAACATTAAAACATAAGTTGTTCTGCCTGTGACATAGTTATCTGTCCTTACCGTATAGTAACCTCCAAACATATGTTGTTGTGCCTGTGACACAGTTATCTGTCATTACCTTACAGTAACATCCAAACACAAGTTGTTCGGCCTGTGACACAGTTATCTGTCCTAACCTTAAAGTAACCTGACGCAGTTATCTGTTATCTGTCCTTACCTTACAGTAACGTCCAAACATAAGTTGTTCTGCCTATGACACAGTTATCTGTCCTTACCTGACAGTAACATCCAAACATAAGTTTTTCTGCCTGTGACACAGTTATCTGACCTTACCTTACAGTAACATCCAAACACAAGTTGTTCGGCCTGTGACACAGTTATCTGTCCTTCCCTTACAGTAACATCCAAACATAATTTGTTCTTCCTGTGACACAGTTATCTGTCCTTAGCTTACAGTAACATCCAAACATAATTTGTTCTTCCTGTGACACAGTTATCTGTCCTTAGCTTACAGTAACATCCAAACATAATTTGTTCTGCCTGTGACACAGTTATCTGTCCTTACCTTATAGTAACCTCCAAACATATGTTGTTCTGCCTGTGCCATGGTTATTTCTTTGTTCAACGTCTTTGTCCTCTTTTTTTTCTTGTTCTTTTTGTTGTTTCGGCCTTTCTGTTGATTGTCTACAAATAAAATCATTGAAAAAACTATAAATCCGTTCATAACATAGAAAACATTGTATTTTAATGCAATCTATTTAATTTGTTTTCAAATGCATTAAAAAATTAATTCCATACTACTTTGCATGATGCTCCTGATTTCTGATCTCATTAACTTCCAAAATCACTAACTGACATGACAAGTCATGTAACAATCACTAAATCAATAAACCATAAGTAAGGATTAAAGATTCGTACGACAAATACTGTATGTATGCTAGTCACAAATATTACCATAACTACAGGACCCGAGGATGGCTTCACATACCCATAGTCAATTCTGACCTTTCAGAACTTACCTGCTATTGTTTCATGTTCCAAAAGAAAGTTATCTGCTCGGTGTAGAGTATTTATTAACCATGAATACAGCATCTCATAAAGGTACCTATAAGATAAATTAATAGTTATTAGTTTAGAATGTGATTAAGAGACCTGCACACATAAATTATACACACAAAACTATATGACACTTGAATTTAATTTAGTGCTCTTACAGTTGTGGGATCGCACAACGTTACACGATGTGCGGTGGATGATCATTGCATGCACACATTTGTGCGTACGAGGGACGAACGTTGTGCGATAACAATCGTGGTTGGGTGTAAATTGAGGAATGGCTTAACAATATAAACGGTTTCGTGTTTAAACATATAAACTTGATTTTTAAGTATGTTTCCATATTCTAGTTACATCTATAAGCTTATCTTTCTGTCTATACTTTCTTAAATTTAGAAATTGTGTTTTCAGTGTTTTTAAAACGATCTTAATCGACACATGTAAAATTACAACACAGTCCCGTATACAGGTAAACATAGCCACTTTGTACATGTACTTGGACCGTAGTTCTCCCCTGCCTGGGGCACTTACGTAACTCGTCGGGGTGTGAAAATCCAGGTGAAGGGACGCTATAGCCCAATCCGAATGCAAATAACAAATACTAAACGTTCAGTTGTGTTTTCATAACGATCATACGGTATTACATATCAGCTCTAACATTCAGGCACAGGCCAGGTAAAACTCTGGTCAATCATCAAATTGTTATTTACCTGTTCTGTTACCTGTGAGCCAAACCCATTCTTGACAGTCTAACAGTCACTGTAATACTGTGTAAAACGCATTGTAAAATTGTACATAATCTTAATTATTGTGAAGAGAAATTACAGTAATATATTATTGTATACAAGCCTTCCGTATATTTTTCATTCCATAATATTGATTAACAAAAATTGTACCAAATCGCACAGTTGTGCGGAGAGAAGTGCACAACGGGGTGAACGATTGTTAAATCACACAGTTGTGCGCACCATGTGTGGACGATGTGCGGATGGTGTGTGAACGATGTATGCACGGTGTGCGCACGCTACTTTTGGTGCATTGTGTGGTCACACAACTGTTCAAAAATATCTGTACAAAATATTTTTGGTATTTGTACAAACAGTATGACCCAGTATAAATTTGACTTACCAGATGATACTATGTACCAGAATATGTAACGGTACTCAAGTACAATGTGAAACAGGAAATATCTTACTTACCAGAATATGTAGTTGTATTTCAGTATAGTATCTCACGGTATAAACTTGACCTACCAGAAAATGTATTTCTGTGCAGTATGAATCTTACTTACCAGAATATGTAGTGGTATTCGTAAGGAGCATACAGCTCCAGCTCAAATCCAGACAGGAGGTAGCTGATCATAGCCTGTAGAGTATGGTACAGTACCCAGTTACCTAGACACGCCAGATGTTGTCTGTTTGGCTCTGTCTTAACCAATTGCTGGTGTAAGTATGCATCCACTTTGTCAGCCTGCCGATAAATATACACCAATATGAATTCTCCAGTCCCTCAGCATACCTAGGGGTCAGCTCTTGAATTTTTAAAGTTATGAATCTCGCCTACTGTCAAGATGATTCCACGAAATAAATAAGGCCAAATAACTCAATTTTTGCCCCGACTCTCAGACCCCAAGGAAGTTTACGACTCCATTTGTAAAATTTTGAATCCCCACCTAATGAGAATGCTCCTAACGAAATATGGTAGATATCAATCTCAAAAGTACAGGAGAGAGGTCTCTTAATGCAAACTGTAATTTATCAGAATTGCTTAGCACCACTCTTATTACCTTATAGGGCTAATTCATTCGATAAATTTGTACAATTTTGAATCCTCAACCACCTAAAGATATTTCCAGTTAGATTTGGTGAAATTCTTTTTAGCAGTTCAGAAGATATCCTTTGCAAATAATTGTTAACAGACAGATGAGAGATGCCATGTTACAAACCAGGAGAACTATAAATGGAAGAGTCAAAGTTCAAACTTACATTTTGTAACAGATCAGGTGTGGGAACATGTTCAAATTCAGTGTCGTGTATAACAAAGTAAATATAGAAATGCTTCTTTTTGATATGACATATTTAACTACAGTTTCGTCAGACAATGGTATATAACTGATGCGAGTCCTTCACTTGTATGTTCTAAAGTAACAGTTTGGTATGTAGTAACATGTTACCTCCTCCTGAAGAGCAGACAGATCCTCCAGTAGATGTCCCCACTTGTCTCTTTGCCGTGCCCGGTTGTGGCCAGTTGTCTGAATCAGGGTACATATCGGTCTCACGGCCTGCATGAACCAAGCGTCTACATAAGTTTTAGCCTGGGGATTATTGAACAGGGATGATCTGAAATTACAACATCATACATATATTACATTACATGTCACCTGCTCGATCATGTGGGTTTTCTCCAGGTACTCTGGTTTCCTCCCACATAAAGACCCTCCGAGCGCTAATATCCGGGGCAACGAGTGATTATAAGTTGAAGTATAGGTTGAAATAACTTGCTTCATAACTGTTGTAAAGTAGATAAAGTATATATATATATGTCAGGGAGGGGTACAGACCTTGAAAAACTAGTCTCATCCAAATCAATGCGAAATTTCATCAATTAATTGGTTAAGAAATTTTGCAGTTTGTTCCATTTTTATGACTTTGGTATATTTTCTAATTATCCTAAATAAAGGTACTTACTTGGGACTGAGAGCAGGTGGTGCTATGAAGCCTCTGATGGTTTCCTTGAGAAAGTCAACAATGGAATTCACTCCAAACACTCGCTTATTGGGAGGCAACAGTGTCAACTACAGAAATAGAAGAAAATATTGATTATTTCTATACAACAAACCCAGACAAACAAAAAGTAAAATGATCTTCTGTTCCTCTGGTCAATTATGTAAATGAAGAGTAACACTTGTACCTATTATCAATTATGTAAAATATCATATTGGGATGTTTTAATACTGAACGTTCCTGTAATGCTGGCCTGGACAAAATGCATTGTGACAGCCTACTTACCTGTAAAATTGACCTTGACAAAACACAGGGGGATGTCTTACTAAAGTCTTTAAAGGTGTCCTAAAATAAAAGTTAAAACATTTAAAAAAGAGTTATATTATATAAATATTAATTTACAACTATTTGTCAACATTGTTTCAGGTCGGAATCACCAGCAGTAAGTGTGCGACGTTTTGATGACTGGTATTTTGTATGATGAAAGTGACAGAGTGTGTGAGTGTGTACCGTACTAGTCATCAAACATCACATATAAACACTTACTGTTGGTGATACATAACCTTTCTATAACTCAATTTACAGCTAGGTATCCCAATACCTTGCATCATCAGTGTGCTGACAGTTACAGCAATTGCAAGACTTATGCTAAAAGAATTACCAACAAAACTAATTTGTAATACATAAATTTATTCTGAATACATTTTCAGATCAATATTTACCTTTGAAATAGATATATTGCAGACAAAGCAAGATCAAAGGTATCATAAATTCTACATACCTCTATCAAATTATCCAAGTCTTATCAAACTTACATTCATTACACAATTAAGATCGTCATTACAATAAATTTGTATACCACCTTAAAGAAAAGCCAGATATTCAAAACCTAATACCAATATCACAACAAAATCCAAATTTGAGGTACTGTAGGTCAGACTCACCAGCACCGTGTGCAATGATGTCATCTGTGGGACGGTGGTGACCACCATGAGACGGTTGAGAAGGGTCTCCATATACTCCAGGGCCGCCTCACGACTCTTAATGATGGTGTAGCGCGGGAATGTGGGCGGGAGCAACCTCTGGTTCACCAGGGGCTCAAACCCCATAATGGTTGGGTAGTCTGTAGGACAGAAACATAATGATAATGGTTGTATTATGATGTAATTGGTCTGAGCTTTCATATGAAAATTTGAAATTAAAAAGAGAAAACATCAGGTATTTTTCATCATAATGGTCTGAAGAATTCCTTTCTTGAGGTGTGACTGCTGGTGTGCATGCCACGCTGGTTAAACGATGACAACAGGATACTAACACTTGGCAAGAGTGAATAATTAAATAAGCTTTAATGTTTACTAGCTATTTTGAATTATTAAGATCGTTTCTTATCATTACTCAGTCACTTCATTCATGCCGAAATCAAAACCAAATGAAAATTAAGTACACAATTTTTATGTAACTGATATTATAAAAGTTCAAAGGCGTAATATTTCATAGACAGGAACTGGGTATGAATACCATTTTTACTGAGCTCCTTCTGTTCAGGTTGTACACCAACAGGCAGAGTGTCCCTGATTGTGGGGATCAGTTCCTGGAGTTGTACGACTATCTTTTGGGACTGGGGTATTCCTTCACACTGAAAAATATAGGGTCAACTGGAAAATGTCAGGGTCATATTTATGTACAGGTATGTCGTTGTACACAAATATACAGCTGTGGGATCGAACACGGCACAAAATTCATCGTGCATACATTGTGCGCACAGTCTGCACATCGTCCACACAACTGTGCGATTTAACTATCGATCTCCTTGTTGTGTGATAAAACATGCAGCTCGAGTGAAATATGGTACATTGTATCGTGTCTAATATATCTGATAGGTACATATATGTATTATTACAATGACTTTAAAACTATCAATAATTTGATTGTACTGTCAGGTACAGTACTACGTTGTAGTACATATATATGTAGTGAATTGAATGGAGTCGATCACCGATGAGGGTTATCGATTAAACAGTTTAACAAAACACAACTTGATTTACCTTTGATATATGTTTCTGTTACACTTTGTGTGGAGATTTCACATCTCCTTCACAATTGACTTGTGATTCAAAACATGTACCCGTTTCCTGGTCATTAACAGGTACATGCAACTGGCATGCTAAGCTATAATCGCACAATTTTTCATGATCATCATGCACACACTGCACATCGTGTAACCCCACAAATGTAATTCATACATTTTGCTATCTTCTACATTTATTATCCAACTGTTACTTAATATCATAAATTCAAAGAGAGATTTTCCACCCTGCTGTGGTATAAACAAACATTCAGCATTCAAAAGTAGATGTATGACTTATTAATATGTACCTCTTCTTTCAACCAGATATGTGTATGTGGTAACATGAAACAGGAACATTGCATAGTAACAAAAATTCAAAATTCTCATGGAACAGAAAATTATTTTCAATCAAAACATTCGAACAACATTAAACAAACTGGGGGTTAAGATGGAATATAAATAACATGGTAAAACAGTTTAACACTCTCGTACTTACAGTCAGCACAGCTCGCCCCATAATGAAATCCTCCATCTAAACATAATTTGATGTACATACAGAATAAGCCAAGGGGCTCGGGCCAGGAAGTTAGTATTTTATTTATCGATAAGTTAAATTAATGTTCTGTGTTACTTCTGTTAACAGTTTATAGGTGATATGTGATGATTGAACTGTAGAAGGTACGATGTGAGTTTGATGCACAACCAGACAGATTTTGTGTATCAAGTAATGTTTGTTTGAATAAGTAATATAGTAGTACAAGACTTTTGATATCCTTATATCCTTTGTTGAGTATCGTAGAGGAGGAATAAGTATATAATGAGATATAAGTAAGGTATCAGTAATGAAAGGTTCAAGTACTTGTTAAGTAATTATCAATCCACGGTTCACACTCCCTAGGTCTACTTTATTTCTATTGAACAGCGGGTCTGATTTTGGGTAGTCTTATGGCTATAAATTATATATCTGAGTAATTACATCTTACCTTCTCTTTACTAAATGACAACAGCATAGCATAAAACAGGCGGTGGAACTTTACTCTGGAGAACAATGTACTTGTAAGGAAGTGCTGAAATTGAAATTAAAATTAACAACAACATTCACATAACATGAGTATTCCATCTTTTCGTATTGCAGAGTTTTCTGCTCTTGATAGCAGGTATTGATTGTTACGTCATTTGTTTGTGAGAGTAGCTTCATAATTTTTTGAGAAAACAACGTAATTTTTTCACACAAACTAATGACGTAACAATCAATACCTGCTCACAAGAGCAGATAACTCTGCAATACGAAAAGACAGAATAGGTCACATTGAGCTGAACTGATTCCTGCATATTATACATTGTTGGTTGGGTGTACAGGGTTTAACATCTTATCAACAGCTAAGGACATATCTGCAGGGGATGGGGACCAAGGCTAAAAAAAGTCATATTATTTTAAATACATCATATATAAATTGTCCACAATGACAGCTAAGGTGCATTGTATTTTACTGTTTAGACACACGCCCTTTCTGTTTTATTTTTAGTTACACAAAGGCCAAATAAAATTTAAAAATTACTTGATTCTCAGGCCAATTTTTTTCAAAATAGATGCGGCAGAGCGGTATTTTTTTTTCTCCATTTTACATGGCAAAAACGAGACGAGGGCGATTTTTTTTTATTGTGTAGTTTGTAAAACATTCATTGTGGACATTACCTTGTCTTTTTATAGTTGTGTAGAGACCCGTCATAGAGCAAGCCTCCGAAAATCCCCCCCACGATGTTCCAGACGAGAATCACGAACCCCCCATTCCTTATTTGTACCGAAAGGAGCGCCATTTGTACACAAGACTAATAAGTCATAATCATTTTAATGCTTGCCTGTATCTCAATCCTTACCTTTATTCAAATGTTTTCGGGACTTGGGTGACTAACGAGTAAAAACGACATGCGAACCAATTTTCCTGATTTTTTTAAAGATGGCGGCTGGCGCATTCACATTTTTTTTTTATTACTTTCACGATAAAATCGGCAATGTGCACGGTGCCATGAAATGAGCGCGGGCCTGAGAAACAAGTAATCAAATTTTTTTGGCCAGATTCCTTCTGTTTTATGTATAGTTACACACCTCCTTTTCTGTTTCTGCATCTCTTTCTTCACCCTGTTTACTCCTTGTTGTCTGGAAATGAAATATGTTCATAACATTCCACAACATTTTTGAAAGTTCAAAAACTGACATCGACAGAAACTTCCTAACAGTTTATCTTTATCAACATAAAATTATTGGACAATACACATATAATCCTTCATTGTTTGAATTACTATTTAAAGAATAGAACACTTATAAATGAAACGATCTAATATAATTTGCTTATTTTAATGTTGATGAATTCTTAAAAGAGGTTTTGTACTATTGTAAAATAACCTTACAGAAAGATAAATATTCTCTGAGGGAGAAGTACCTTAAGAGTTCTGTGAAGATCTTCTTCCAACTCCTTCATCATACCCGTCACCCGTACATCAGTAACGTCTCCTGCCATCTTAAACCCATAGGTCATCGTCTGGAAATCTTCCTACAAATCAAATCAGACTTATTGGTTTTTGTTGCTCATATCTCACCGTAAAAACGGTAAATCTAAGACCAGATCAGATCCTTGTGAACGAGGTAAATATGAATATCTCTTTAAATGGTAAACTGAAATCGAACAAACCTCTTCAAAAACACCAGCTCTGTTGACACGATCGCGTATGTGGTCGACTATTTTGAGAGTACAAAGGCTGAAGGCCTTAAGACATCGGTCCTCTATTACATATGGGTTGTGTAGGTACAGGTTTGTAAACACTGTCTGGGCCAGGGAGTGACCTTCCAGCCACGTCACCTATAAACAAAACAATACACATCACAGAAACAACACTGTACATCATGACTTGTCAATTCAATATATTGTAAATTGAAGTAGACAACGTTGTATGTAAATTATAATCTAACATCTTCAACATAAAATAAGCATTATTTCCATTTTTTACATTTACATCATGAACTGTTTCAACTAAATTCAAAGTGCTTAATTGTTTTAATCAACCATATTCCGTCTTTTCGTATTGCAGAGTTATCTGCTCTTGTCAGCAGGTATTGATTGTTACATACCGTAAAAACCCATGTAATTTGCGCACCTGTGTAATTTGCGCAGGTACTTTTTGAGGCTGAAAATCGGGAAAAAAGGTTCTACTCGAATATTTTGCGCACCCAAAAAATCTGGAAAAAAAACGATGTTCATGCTCCGAAAATCGATCTCTGAATATATTTTTTTAAAATATTTTTCTATGATTATCTAAGTCCGTGGTTTGGCGATATTTTTTTACAATTTACAATGCAGTGATGAGCTAACACTATCTCTGTGATTACCCGTTAACAATAGCTCTACTAATTGAAATGATTTGCAGTCGCGATCGACGGACCGTGTTGTTGTTTTTTTCACTCGTCAACACGTGGCGTGAATTACGAAGCCCTACTGCATTGTCATAACTACAGACTGATTTGACTGATAAGGGATTATAAAAAATATGTTTATACTAGAAGCGTGGACAATCAATACATCCTCTTCAAATCTACTCCAAGGAAAAAAATAGTTAACGCAGACTATTTTTACGATGCTTCATTTAATAAATATTGAAATAATTCACGAGGTTATTATCAATCACGTGTTTACGTAATGTTAGACGCGAGATCAACATGAAAGTGAGCCGGAAAAAAAACATGCTATACGTATACGCATAGGCGATTTGAAAAAACTTACAGAACTTACAAAGAACGGAGCTTAAATTGAACAACTAAATTTTCTTAATAGTATGGGGAAACGCACCGAGATGTCGAAACGTAATGTCGTAAGTTGATCGGCTATTCTCTGGCATAGGAATTTGGCTAAACTTTTTTTGTTAACGGTTACCTATTTATTAATACTTTTCACATAAACTCACATAACAACACATTATGTATCTTTTATTAATGTTTGACATAAATAAATTTGTTGATCGTCATTTGTCTTAGAGATCCGTGTACCAAGGGACATAATCCAAGATGGCGATCTCTCAGAATCGTCGATCTTTTCCTGAAAAAAACTTAAATTTTTCTATACCTGTGTATTTTACGCACCCCCCACTTTGGGGATTAAATTTCTGAAAAAAAAGTGCGCAAATTACATGGGTTTTTATGGTAATTTGTTTGTGAGGGTAACGTTATACATGTTTGAGAAAACGATGTAATTTTCTCATACGAATGATGATGTGACAATCAATACCGTCTCACAAGAGCAGATAACTCTGCAATACGAAAAGACGGAATTATTGTATCATTCTAAATATCAGACAAGCTCTGACAATATACCAGTTTAACAGTATTCACATTGGGTTTGTATTGGTGAACATTTCTATGCAGGAAAGTTGGATCCAAAATCACTGCTCTTATCTCCTCAATAAAACATAAAGGTGTTATCCTTACCATACATGCCATTGTAGCATCCATGACACCTATCAGCTCAGGTATACTCAGCTCTTTGATCTTCAACTGTCCCGACTATACATTAACACAAAATCACATCATAAACATGATATTGTAAAAGACTCTTTAAACCATAAATCTTTCCTTTTTGAAATAAATATTACTGGTAATATTGATATCATTCTTTGACAATCATAAAATAAAATATTAAAAATTAAGGTAAACAATTCTACAACACACATTTTTGAACAATTCAAATCAATTTATTCAATGTGCCTTATTTTAACGGTTACGAAAAAGGATTGCTGTTAATGACATGCTGTCCTATTAATTTTATACAACACCCAAACCCACCCAAATCTAACACCCCAAACCCACCCAAATCTAACACCCCAAACCCACCCAAATCTAACACGCCAAATCCACCCAAATCTAACACCCAAACCCACCCAAATCTAGGAGGAGTGAAGGCACTCTTTGTCCTCAAATTTAAGACTTACAAAAATTGACATAATGTCAATTTTTTGCTTTAACTTGAAAACTCCCAACAAATCCAATCCATTTATTAAGACTTACCTCTGTACTATCAGAGAAGTTAAGCACTTTCCTTTGGATTTGATTACACAGCATACCAGCATCCATCTTAGAGTCCATCATTTCTATAGCAGACATTGCTTCAAACAACCCGAATCTGTAATGTAGTAAATAATGTATAATTATTGTAATTATAAAGATTGCAATTAATTCAAACCAAGCTTATTAATTAATAAAGTTATACATCAAGATACAACTAGTACTGTAGAGGTATTTTTCTGCTTGATTTTAAGAAACCAGTACAAATTCAAAAACCTATCAATAAAGGCGATTCTGGACAATGAGTTTGGAACATACTGTGCCTATTTTAACAAAGTGTGGGAAGTGTGACACAAATACTCAAAGATTCCAAATTACGACCCCTTGAGAAGAGGCATCAGAACATCAGGCTTGCCTATCTATACAAAGTCGTTAAGGGGTCAGTGCCAGCACTACCCCCAAATTAGTACTTGAAACCAAGGAGACAAGGCCGTAACATCAGAGTCACAAACTATGTAAAGACTTCAGCACTATCGACAACAAACATTGTCGACAGGTCTGTGTGTAACAACAGTAGAGGATTCCTTATAAAACAGACCAATACAGAGAATCCCTCTTTATACGTACTAGTGTAATAGATTGGAACCATCTACCAGAGAACATAATCAAATGCGGCAGTGTTGAGGACTTAGCCCTCGAAATGTGCATTTAAGAACTATTAGCGCTCTCTCTCACCTGCTGTAACACACCAGTTTTGGTTAATTCAGCGTATCCATATACAGATACAGATCAAGGATTTTCCTTTTAACTACAGCAGATAATCTCAATCTGCTTACCTACATAATGTATACATAACAACAAATAAATATAGAAGCAACACCACAAATCTGTATCTGACAATGCAGATAGTTTAAATTTTTATGCAGAGAAGATATGTGTTTTGAGAGCAGAACCCATGGATTTTAAAGACGGAATTGATCAAGTGGTTAATATGATTAAGCTATCACTAGTAACCCTGAATGAGCTACTGGTCTACACACAAGATCTTTGTTCAATTGCAGGTACATAGTACATATACTTTCAGAGGGGTTGTGATCTTTCTGTCCACTCTATACAGCTGTTCAGGACTCATAATCTAACCAGTCTGAGAATAGTGTCGCAGATATTTCAAGGTCCATGCATATGTCTACAATCATATAACACCCACAGCCAGATGACATCAAATTAAATACAGGCTACTATAGCCACTACATACAGAGAACACTTACGTCAGAAGTAACTATAAACAAAATGAACAAGCACCAGCTGGCTAGCAATGAGCAACTACAGGAATGTAGTATGATTATATATAATTATCTGGTACATGTAATAATAAATAATATGATATTCTAACGAGAAATCATGTAGGAGTTCCCCATGTAATAACTAGAACACTAACAGGTCAGTAAGATCCCCGTCTTGTGGCAATATATCCCCCATAATCATCAAGAAGCAATCTGCCCATATAGCTGAGCTTGACGTTTGACATTTGGACTTCAAAAAGAAGTAAAATATACATTTTACATGTACTATGATGTGAGTCTTGTTTCCTTCCACCTCCATATTTGCTGGGCTAACAGAAATGTAAATACAAGTGCAATACTCATTTGTTAGCTTTGATTTGTTTTATTTCACCTTTGACGTTTGGACAAAAATGACCTTGACCTTTAACCCAGTGACCCTGATCTTTGGTCAGTTGAATTATTTTTTAATTCCGACCAACTTTGTTTTTATAATATCATAACAAAATGTTCATCAGTGAACATTACAAACTTGACCTTGACCTTGAACCTTTGGACCCTGTAACCTGGACCTTAGGTCAGTTGACTCCCGTGTTAAGTTCTGAACAACTTTGCTTCATAAATAACATAAAAAAATGTTCATCAGTAAAATGATAATGACCCAGTGTTAAATGACCTTGACCTCTGACCCAATGACCTTGACCTTTGTTCAGTTGACTCCTTGTTTAATTCCGATCAACTTTGCTTTATCATGTCATAACAAAATGTTCATCAGTGAAAAGAAGCAAAATTTGACCTGGACCTTTGAACCTAATGACCTCGACCTTTGACCTTGACTTTTTACCTCAGTGTGTATTTTTGTGAACTGAACATCTTGACCACGTTTCATGTAAATCTGTCAATAAATACCAAAGTTATCAGCCAGGAACAAAATTTGTGGACGGACAGACAGAGTGATTACTATAGGGCACCTGTATCTCCGATACAGGGCCCTCATAAATAATGATATTCTTACGTGGAATCATGTAGGAGTTCCCCGAGCTGAAGGTCTGATGACGCCTCTACAAACTCCTGAGTGATATCTACCCAGTTATAGGTTGGTCTGTTATCCATGGCTGTTTCCTCTTTTGTCTCCATCAGGATTTAGTTGGTCAGTACAGCAGGCTGTCTGCATATAAACAACACAAATTTTAAAACACTTTCGATTGGATATCAAACCTGAAACTCATGTCTGTTCACAAATCATCAGAGTAGAATTAGCATGTGATATCAACAAGACTGAAATATTGACAAATGACCAAAAAAGGGTGTGCAGACCAAAGATTGTCATACACTTACAATCTGAATCACATTCAAATTAATATTCTAAAAGAGGGGGCCCATTGCAATTCTTTTTACAAAACAGGAATTAAATAACTTTTTAAATCCATTTTTTTCTCCCCCAGAAATTTCTGATCGCACACAAGGTTAAACCTCTTCAACCTTTGTTTAAATCCCTTTTGTTTTTCATGTAATAGTCTAGAAATGGTAGCAAACATTTAAATATATACTTGGACTAACAAAAAATTCAACAGATTTTATCGAATAAAAATATCTTTAAAGGTAAACTTCTGGTACATTAAGGTAGACCTTAGGTAGATCCACCAATGGTGAACGGCAGGTCAGAGAGTCATGTTAACTTAAGGAATGAAATACATCTTTTTAACATTCATGATGATATATGCAACATACAACATAGCTCCATTCATACGTATTCTATGATGTGCAGCGACCCACATCAAAGAATACCATTGAAGGGAACTGTGTGGCACATACTACCTACCAACCCCGGATATACTGAAAGAGGTTGATGACCCTCTTTTGAAAATAAACAAGAGGCCCAAGGGCCTCAGCGGGCACCTGAGTTATATCATAGGTACTGGTAGCTTTATTTTATTGTTTAAATGTGATGTGGAAATCAGCATGTAAACGAAGTGAAATACAAAACTTGTCATGTCATCAATGGATAAACATTTTAAAATATTGGTAAATGTTCCCTTTGGGGCCCCACCCTAGCCCCTGGGGATGAGGCAGGAATCCCAATTTTACAATGTAATACCCTCATTCACCAAAGATGATTCTGACTAAGTTTGAGTAATTTTCTGCTGAAAATGGATAAAATTTACCCAAAAGTCCTACATTTATGATTGACATTATCTTCAATATCATGAATTGAACGAAGGTACAGCTGTAAAGACCTATAATAGCTCTATTGACCTATCTGAAATAGGTCTTTTGAGCTATTTTCAAGTGATTTTCTTTTTTTAAAGAAAACAAAACAAAGTCGCTTTTAAAAGAAGTTTGTATCATTAGGTTGATAACAAAAGACATTAAATATAAGTATTCTTTTTAAAAAATAATGATGTAAAAAAATCGGAAATTTTACATTTATGAAAAATGAAAATAATCATCTAACTGTATGCTCTTTGTAGTCAACATTACCATAGCTCAATCGGCAGAGTGTACTGGACCTGTCAATCTGGCACAGATTTGTAAATGTAATGTCACTATAATTTGGTTTGTTCACGCAGCTGTCTGACGGTCGCTGTAGCTCGATGTTCCTCTTGTCCCAATTAACACCAGACATTTATTCTAGGCTATCTATCGCAATGTCTCGGGTCTGGCGCTAGGCGTCTAAGCAACAATGTACCTTCGTTCAATTCATGATATTGAAGATAATGTCAATCATAAATGTAGGACTGTTAAAGTGTGTGCATGGCAAAAGAAGGACGTGTATGTAGTCGTGTGTATGAAATACTTATGGTTAAGGGAGTGAAGTTTTTGTTTTAAAAATGTCAAGAGATTCTGATTTTACCAAGTCAAGAGGTAATTTATTCCACTGGATAGTGCCACAGAAAACTCTGATTACCATCTTCGTATTCCTAAATAATAAAGAAAAGGCCGCTGGTCGGCTGATTATCTCATGCCGACTGTGCGCTTGTCAAAATAAGCCTACTGTATCTCGCCAGGTTATAAAGTTGTCGGAGTCAGTAGTCAACCCGTCTCCGTTCGGTGGATTTCTGTGCAAAATAGAACAGGTTGGTGTTTACAAATCTAACCAGATTTGTAACAAAAGCAGCATTACTTAATGTCAATAACGCAAAGTTCACCAAACAATGTAATATTTTAACTAACAGTGAATTCCCCGTCTTGCTTTCACTTCAGTGTTTTAACGATCACCACTTCTTGTTCGCTGTCCACCATGATGTTAACTACGCGCTTAATGTGATGTCGATTGTGATTGGAAGAAAATGAGTTATATTATTTCCCGCCAAAATATCTAAATTATAACTGCGATTTTAGGCCTATATCGAATGATGTTTTGTTTTATCGACATGGTTAGACACTAAACTATTTTCCTTAGCAAAGCTAGTTAAGAAATGAATCAACTAGAATATTCTACTGTAGTCCTTGGTTTTTATCTTGTCCTTGCGGACTCCTCGTCTCAGTAAGAGCAGTGCAGAGACGTATGGTTACCGTTAAGTGCAAAAGGTGATATACCAGAGGCCAAATAATCTCATTTTTTTCAGACCTGACAAGTTGGTCACATTTTGTATCAGTCTATCCCCTTTTACTTTAATTTATCTTGTTTTAAATTCTGGCAACAAACATGAATGTTTTAACTGAAAACATATACTGAATCAGAGACGTATTATATTACATATCTCTAATATAAATTAATATATAATTTAATTTCTATTTTGCCTTCAAACTACTTTGTAGTTGCAAATGTGCAAAAAAAAAAATTGAATTTGAATATAATAGTAATACTTTCAGGAAACGACCTTATTGTTAACAAGTGTATTTATAAAACATATTGACCTCTATAAAAATCTTCTAAAATTATCCTTTGTATAGAGGTGTCCTTGTCTTCCGTAAGATCCCTTTGTAAAACTACGAAAGCATGCCCTTTTCCTTCTTTGAATATTAAATGCACATATAAACGAAAATCACAATAAAATTGTCATACCAAAGGTTACAATCAAATACCTTTTTTAGAATCTGTTTTTGATCTTCATAAACTAATTTTATAGATTAATGCTTTATTTTTCAATTTATATGTGCTATTCATAGAATAGTTGGCTAGGATCAGTATGAAGTGTTGGGTAGGATCAGTATGAAAGGCCGTTCATGTCAAAAACGAGATACTAACGCGTTAGCAGTTAACGCGTTAAAAATCATTGAACGCGTTAAATCCTTGTTTAACGCGTTCAATGATTTTTAACGCGTTTAACAAGGATTAAACGCGTTAAAAATGCATGCTATGACGTTAAACATACACTTTTATCGCGTTAAGCCCTAACGCGTTTGCATTTAACGCGTTAAATACATGTTTATTGCGTCACAAATTATTTTTTCACAAATTATTTTTTCCCAAATTATTTTATCGCGTTAAATGAGCATGTTCAGTCGCCTGATGTGTCTGACTCTGAACTTTAACCACGTGACCTTACAACTTTGCTGTAATATTATTTTGTACAATTTTGCAAGGTTTAAACATGACTTTTTGATCGTTTGACATGACTTCAGTGAGTAACAAGAATGTTGGTTTGAGCACAGAATCCATGCTTGAGCACAAGAACGGTTTCATGAATACGGGCCCTGCTGTTGCTGCGTGACGTTATTTAGACTTGTGTTCATCGGCATTTTAATAGATGTATATTTAGACAAATTATTAATTGAAACCTTTACTAATGTGACGAATATGCCTGCAAAAAGGCCTAAATAATGATTATGGTTATGGTTCGTTGCCAAAATAATCCTTCATCCACGATAAGATTATTAGTACAATATTCTATAAAACAAGCACCTTTATATATGTCCCTTAGTTGTGCCAGCACCCCCGTCAATGCCAACACGATAACAGTAATCCACTGTTGGTAAGATTTCCTGGCGAAAAAAAACAGGTCCTCGCGTCGACAGCCATGATTAAGTACTGTATGTAATTGCACATTTGATTATCAATTCATTTATGAATCTTTAACGAGTTAAAAAAAAAATACAACATTTAACGCGTTAAACTTGGGAAGCATTTTATCGCGTTAAAATATTTTGATTGTTTAACTGTTTAACGCGATACAAGTACGTATTTAACGTGATAGCAGAGACGTATACGTCTCTGGTGATAGTATTTAACGCGTTAAACATTGTTTCATAGATCAGACGTATATTATGTCTCTGGTAGATCTAGGATTCACATGGTAAAAATTCCCACCCAACACCTTTAGTATGTAGTATCCAATAATGCCA